AATGTCTTGCTCAACTGATAAGCACATAAATTTCAACAGAAGACAAAATGCTAAAAAGAACAGGGACTTGAGAAGAGCTGACAGACAGACACCATACATATGAACATAGAACTGAGAAGTTTAGTGCCATATTAAAGTTACCTGTCAGTGAAATTAAGATTTCTGTAATGCAACAAGTAACAATCAAAGGCCCTAAACTCTGACACTAATATTTACCGTGACTTTATTTGTGGAGACTATACATGCAGGGCTACACCACAGTAGCAAATGCAGCAAGCATCTGCCACTTAGAAATACCAGCTGAGTGACTACAAACCTAGCATTTGTGCAGATCTGTGTGTACTATAATTCAGCATAAAAATACTGAGAGGCATATCAAGTTAGGCTTGTCAGCCTTAATATTTTCTGGTGATTTGCACAGGGCCAGAGAATAAGATAAGCATCTTTACAAATCCAGTTGGCTTTACTTCAAATCCAGAAGCTTGTTTCTAAGCTGCACAAGAACAGGAGCCCACGTAAAATCGAATTTTGAATGCAAAGCCAACCCAGTTCTGCTCATCATCCTCTATTCCGAATCCTGTCTGCAGCAACAGTTTTTTGTGAGCTCACTGTCCTTTACTGACATATTGTACAACATACATTTATTTTTGTAAAAAATTTTTTTTTGTCTCAGAGCTACACTTATCTTAAGGGCAGTCTGTAATTTTTAATTTAAAAAGAGTTTTGCATTTATAAAGTTTACACTAATGAAGTATATTCACTGGCACTGATGAGTTAAAAACTACTTCAGCTTTCTTTGCAGGTTTTAGAGGTTTTTTTAACCAAGCTGGTAAGTATTCCCCATTTATCCATGCAGATCAGCTTAATTTGCTCAGCAGCTAAAACTTGGAGCGAACAACGGTATTTTCAAAACAAATACATCAAGTTAAAGCGAGGGCAGTTGTGGTTCATCTGAATCATATGGCTCCAGATTTCAAATCTAAGCTAAGGAAATAGAGGTTATGACATTCTGCAGCTGGGACAAGTAGTGTTCATAAAGCAATGTTAAATCAAGACCACTTGGCCTGTTCAGGCAGTTGCTTGTGTGGAAGTGACAGATCCCATGAGAGCATTAAAAAAAAAGAAAGGTTTTGGTGTCCCAGCCAAACCCCCTTCCTTCACTTAATGCTACCAGGGACTAAGTTTCATCAGAGCAAATGACTGTGGAAGGCTGCTGCCAAGTAATTGCCACTGATTTATTTACATCCAATCCCAGAGAACAGGAATTAAACACTTTGCAAAATACACGGGCAAGTTAGTTACAAAAGGTCTTCCCATGCTACGTAAATGCCAAGTGACTGAGCCTGCTGCTCTGTAGGTTAGTTTTCAGAAAGATCAAGTCAGTGATTTGATTCACTGTACAGCTATGCAAATACTAGTATCAACACAAAGAGAGATACAGTGGCAGGGAGAAGTAGCTGGGAGCTTTAGCAAGGCAGCAGTACGCATGCTGGTAGCAGGGGCATACACAAAGTTTTTATTCAGTCTGGGAATCTCAGGACAGAAAGAAGGATTGGGTCCAGTTTTTCCCATTCACTAGTATTTTAAGATCTATTTATTAATGAAATACCTGAGAGTTGACATTTTCATTTACAGTGGATGAAAAAAGTTTGTTTTCTAAATTTTGTGAAACAATACTTGTGGCTGAAGTAGTGACCATTCACTGCTTCCCTGAAGACCAGAAAAACTGCGCCTGTAGCTTTTTTTTTTTTTTTTTAAAGCAGGGAAGAAGGATGAAACAGTAGTACTGATTGGAGACTTTCATGACACTATCTGGATGCCAATGTCATGCTGTGTAAACATGTGGATCCATTAGACAATTGTTGGAAGCATTGAATTCTAAATTTGACCTAGTGATAGGACTCATGCTGTTTGGGAAAAAAAAATAAACGGGCTTGCGAAACCACACAAGGAAAACGTTTCAGACTTGTTAAAAAAAAAGTACAATGATGTTTTGGATGGCCTGCAGATCTCAGCCTCTGGAGAGTCTTGACAGACAGAAAAAAAAGACCTGAACTCTTGGCTCTCAAACTGTTAAGTAAGTTTATAAAACGTATTTCAACCTGAACAGATAAAAACATTTTCAGAAGAGAAAAATTTATATTCACATGCAGAATACAGAAGATTTTCCTTGCTAAAAACAATCTGCGACAATGATTTATATCTTCTTCCACACTTCTAGCACATGCTACTGCCTGAACTAATGAATCCATTTTAGTGAAGCCGGAGCACTACTGCATCCCCGTAGTTTCTGGTCTGGGGAAGGGAAAGGGAGTGGTAGTTAACTGCCTTCCTTTGGTTTGTGCTGGCAACCCAACACTTTTTGCTTTACAGTACTTAATGGCCTAAAACACACATTGAAATTAACTCCTTCATTAGCTCTACAGCTGCTACTACTTATCTTTTTTATTTTTCTTAATTATAGCACTTCAAAATTTTACGTTGTGATTCAGAATTACATATAATTAATACATTATTTGTTAGAATATAAAACACAGGCCTCATCATTAAAACGATACATTACATATGACATTTGAAAATGTACTCCATTCTTTAAGCTATCTAGAAATACTATATTCATTCTGTCCATCCTACAACTTAATTTCAAAGTGATTAACCAGCTTTTTAGTCCACTCAAGTTGCTTACATTAAAAGACAAAAACCAGTGGGTTCAGCTCCCAGCAAAACTGCAAACCCACTTCAAGGCTGTCACTACAAAACTTGTTATTCATCTCCACAGGCTTGTAGATGTGAAGAGCAGTGTGTAAAGCTCAGCATTTAAGTTATGATTCATGTTGTGATTTAATCATTTGCAAAACATTATTTACTACATAAAAGAAATTGTACTTCAACAACAAGGATCAGAAAGCAAGAAAATCAAATCAATCCAGAAGAGCTACTGAGTCACTAAGGAGCAAGGCAATGAGATAGACGTTATCCCTGTGAACCTGGAGTAGAGGCCAGAAGCAGCAAAGCTCCTCTCTGGTGAGTGCTGGGCGACCACTGTGGACAGAACCTTTCTCCAACCCACCCCGAAGAGCTCCATGAGCACCCAGAAGTGGTCCTCAGAGTGCAGATCTCCGTATTGCACCTTGCCATGCATATAAATAAGTTTATGCAACTTAACCAGCTGAATTCAACGACAGTTCACCTGTCTAATTCTAGTCTTATCCATACATACAGGGATATGAGGCCACAGGCCACAGCTAAGGCACTGAAGTACTGCATCAGTCAGGAGAAGCCATCTCCTGCAGCCTGTCCCTACACGGCTGGAGCTCCCAGAGCTCCACAACATATTACGCCTGTTCCACAGGTGGGATGTCAGCAGTGAGAGCTGTCAGCCAGGCCTCTTCACATCCACCAGTTTAACTACTTAAATCCTCCTTCCCACCTAACACACACACACACACAGAAGAAGAGCTCTCCACATCCATTTTCTGCTCTAATGCACTGGGCAGCTATCTTACCAAGTCCTTGAACACGACTTAAATCTGTATAAAAGTATAAACAAAAGCCACCGTTTCTTTGCATGAATTTGTGGTACGCTCATTTTTGTGGTTGAAAGGCCAGCCAGAGACTACGACCAAAAAGTCAGCCACTACAGCATAGTTTTAAGACCACCAGAGTTGGTGTTAGGTGATTTCCACCTGTGTGACATATCACAAATACACATTAGCCATGGAAATCCCTTTCTCTTAAGATCAAGACCACATAATAGTAACAGCTTTTGCTTCTATTTACTATTCTTCATTAAATTATGAAACTAAAATTGCAAGCAAAATACTGGTTGCACTGTTTATTTTTCTTGGGTCCTTAAACGCCAGCCACAATATGTGAACCAGAGGGCAAAGAGAGGCCAAACGGAGCAGGGGAGCTGGGCAGCTCTGACTGCAACACGTGGTAGTAAAGACTAGAACCAGTGCTAATAGTGGAGAAAAGGGGAAGGAAAGATGTGCACCAGAAAGAGATCAGATCTTTTACAGACTGTTAGTACACCTCTCAATAAAACTTTAATATAAAAAGAATGTAGTGGCACAGGCTGCTATCTTAAACCATTTTTTTCCCAAATAAAGTACTCTGCTTACCTCAAAATTCAGTTCACAATTAAGTAACCTTAAACTAATTAATCTCTATTTTTAGGGGAAAATTCATCTATTCTTAAAAGCTATCTTGTTCCTCAAACATTATTGTTCAATCATTTATCCAAGCTAAAACATTTAAACCTCCTTAATGCCTATATATATATATACAAATATTTTTTTTACTACAAGACATAGGGAGATTAGTGCTTTGCTTAATTTTTCTCCTCCTTTAGATAAGTTATATCTGCATATTGAAATACTGGTTACAAATATTGAGCGGTCAGATATATTAAAATATACTTGTTCTCCATATCTTTTCCCCAAAGTGTGCGAATATATACTCAGTAACAAAAGTGAATTAGTGTAACACAGTATGCCAAATCCACTGCTCTTTACAATAACAAACCAAACTGACATTTATCATAGTATCATATTACATGACAAATATTTCATATCAGGACTGTCATGTGCCAGTTTTAGCCCACCAAGCATGACATTTTCAATGAGAAGGAATTATGTTCCTATTCTTAGATCAATCTACTGCTTTTATTCAAGATCCTCAATTCACCTCACAAAAGTAAATAAAACCAACACCACCACTGTGATACATTAATTCTCTCAACTTTTCAGCTATAGTCAAGTCAGTACATACAACAATTTAACACCAAACATCATGAACAATTATGTTACAGATTTTCTAATCTCTGGATAAAAACACTGTGTATTGTAAATGCTACACAGAGCATGATACAGTGAGACGCAAGACAAAAAAATCGAAGCAATCTGTATTTATCAGAATTGATTAAATTTTCGTTTAATTTCTTTCAACTACATACAAACAACTGTTTCACCTTTTCTTTCTTTTCTTTTTCCTCCCAGTGACTCAGACTGACATTCTCCTGGACTGCACCTCATGTAAGTACAGCTATAGCAATACAGTGTGACTATTACAGTATATGTTTATTTCACCATTGTACAATAGTGAAAATGTTTGCCAAAACTGGGACATCTACACCTGCTATTTACTTCTGTGAAAAGGTACTGGATTCCTAAATCCTCACTGAATGGTTATCTAAGGCAAGCAATATCTACTCCCAGATTGTCCTTTTCAGAGATTACAAACCAGCCACCCCAGTAGTCTCATACAAAGATAGTTCCAGTTTACTCTATCTATAAAGATCTGTGAAATACAGACTTCATGGAACTGTTCCATCATCCTTAGGCACTCCAGGGGTCCTTGCCAGGCAGGGGAACCTCTGTCATCCAGAACTGCAGATACAGACTTGAGGAACATCAGCTCTCAGAAGGTTTAATTGTCACTATTCCTGCAAACTGCTTGCCAATCCCCGTGAAGAAGGAATTGAGGTTGTAATGCTCTCCCCACCACCTCTACCACAACACCATCATGACAGTTAAAACTTCCTGAAAGCCCACAGCTCCCATTAATGATTTTCATACATTGACAAAGGCTGATAAGGGAGAAGGAGAAAGTCAAAGCCAACACCCAGTCAGTCAGTTTGGGCTAATTCTGCAAGAAAGACACACCTTTAAGAGAGCCAAACAGATTAAAAGGAAAGAGATAAAAATCACAGTCTTCTCTAAGTGGCCAATACCATTCATCTGAGCACTGATGGTGCAAATACTGTCAATACTCTGAGGGTGTGTTTGCACACCACCTGAAGATGTGCTCAAGTGCAAGGGCTGGCACCTGCTCAGAGTGGTGGGAAGTAGGTGAGTTGTTCATCCCAGTCTAGTTAATGAGCAAAAGACTAGAAACCAGGAATTATTTAATGCTAATGCCAGCTCTGCCAGTACCAAGTGCTGTTCTGTTGCTCTCAGCAATTCATTTAATATTTTTCATGTTCTCCTATGTACAATGAGCATCACATTTTTGTGCCTAGTGCCCATCTACCCAGTGTTTAATCCCCAATTTAATATTCTAGTCATAAAAGTACTGCCTCTCTTTTACTTTGATAAAGTACAGTCAGTATCAATACGTAACACTTTTTAAAAACTTATTTCCAACTATTGTGAAACAGGAGCTGAATGTTTATGGAGTAGTTATTTTTTATGTCAGTTTACCATAGGGCCTCTTTAGCCACAAGCTTAAAGCTGGAGGCCCCAAGGCATTTTTGGGAATGGAAACTTTTTGAGTTCAGCTCTTAACAAATTTCCAGCCTGCAGTATGTTTTTCATTAGTCTACATGGTGTTATAATAAATGATGCACTTCCTCTTCCATTTTATGATTTTTTTTAAACATGCAACAATTTTTCTGTGTCTGTTTTTTATTACTTTCAATATACTCAACCACACTAATCTTAAAGTCTATGTATAAAGACAGAATATCTCAAGTAAGATACCAGCTACAGCAAGTCAAGCTTCTAGTTTAAATTCTTCACTGAAGGCTGATCATAAACCCATTACATGTATGCAGCCTCATGGGCAGCCATCCTTTTAGGGGCCACTGATAAAAAAATAAAAAGTCCGTTATCCCAAAACCTAGAGTTCGCCTAGAAAAAGACTCCTCTAAGGTATGCACCTGCAAGACACTCAACTAAAAAAGTTTGATCCCATTGGCCAGATACAAAACATAAGAAAACCTCCCTAAGACTCCACATAATAGAATTACAAAAAGGTCCTTTTTTTTTGCATAAAGAACAACTTGATACTTCTCACTATAGTTTTGGGTGCCCCAATACAAGAAAACTTTCAATAAACTAGAGCAAGTTGAATGGAGGGACACCAAGATAGCCAGTGAGCAGGAACACCTGCCCTGTGGTGAAAGGCTGAGGGAACTTGTCATGCTCAGGCTAGAGAAGAAAAGGTTTTGGGTGGACCTAACAACCACCATGTTGCACCTACAAGGGGCTTTCTGAGAAGACTGATTGAGGCTCTTTACAACAATGCATGGTGGGATGAAAAAAGACAATGGGCATAAATTGAAAAGTAGATGGATTTCAACATATAAGGTAATATCTATTTTTATCATTAGGACAACTGAGTCTTGGAACAAGTTGTCCAGAGGTTGCACAGTTTCCATTCTCCCAGATTTTCAGGATCTGGTCTAATCTCATAGCTGACCTTGCTTTAGGCAGGAATTTGGAGAGATAACCTCCTGAGTTCCCTTCCAACCTGAATTATTCTATGATTGATTCAGTCCAGTAAAAAATAGTTAAGATTTTAAATACCAGAAACAGAATGCATCTGGAATTTATTCAGACTTTTTATTTTTTCTCGCTACTTATTAGACATACCAGCTTGCTAATACTGTGTGTGGTGCAATAATTTTTTTTAATTAATCACAGAAAAAGAGGTGTGGATAGCACTTAACCTCAGACTCCAAATTTCTTAATTAAAATCTTAATTGAAATCTTCCACTGGTGGCTATAGCTTTTTGATGCAAAGTTCTGACAGGAGAAAAGAGGGTAAACAAAGATTCACCTTAATGAGTTTTGGACATGCAATGTCAACAGCCATCAATAAACTTCATAGTGAACTACCTGTGCCAGAGTTAAAAGACTGCTTTTTTTTTTTTTTTTTTTTTTTAAATTACCTTAGGTGTCTTTCTCTGAATGCAGCGGGTGGAGATGCTAGGTCCAATCTTTCTTAGGGTGAGGTACCATGATAGTTTGATTGTCCCATTGGATTCTTTGTACCACAGTATAAAGTGGCTCCAGCAAATACAAACATAAACAGCGGGTAACAGTGATCCAAACAGTATCCCAAATATTTTAAAACGAGCAATATAAACAAACCATAGCATAAGGGAAAAAGAAAGTTTCTAAAAAAAAAAAAAAAAAACCAAACTAAAAAAAAACACAACAAAACACCTAACATTTCAGTATTTAAGTCTCTATCGTAAAAGCACAACTACCCACATTTAAATCAAGCCAATGTTCTCTGTGCTGCCTTGTCTTACCCAAAACTAGTTTGGTGAGCTCTGCAGGTTGTCAAAAGCAAATGCCTTTAACACTGTACTCTCAAACATCAGCTCTGAAACATTTACAAGGAATGTTCATCTCCTTTCCGGATGCTTTTCAACACATCTTTGCTAGTAATTTAACGCAACACATACATAACACAGACACTGCAGTAACTCAAGATAGACAAGATGAGCACATCAAAAGGGTTACACGCTTCTAAGCTTGTGCAAGCCAAGCTCACTACATGTACTACAGATTCCCTTGCTGGCTTGGTACATGTGCCACCTTCCCACCCACAGCCATGCCAGGGGCTCCTTTCATTATCCATGTTTCCATCACAATTTACTCCTTTCCATTTATCACCAATGAGCTTTACGTCTCCAGCTTGCCCCAATCTCCTTCCAGCTGCCTGCTAAGATCTACGTCCCTTTCATACTCGTTTCTGTATTATTATAAATCTTCATTCTCCCTACCAGCTTCCTTCCTCTCACAAATTAAGGACTTTGTTTATCTGTCCCTTATGAAGTTTCAGTCTCCCTTCCTGCCAGATGAGACCACGTTCATTTTGCAAAAAGAACTGTTACTAATGTTTTCTATTTGGAAGAGAGGCTGAAGTTCTCAAACAACCTGTTAACTTGACTGTGAGGATAGCAGAAGTGAGATCAGACTATTATTCTGGAAATCGTTATAGATGCCACCGGGGAGTAGGGATAACTGAAACTACGGATCTGCAAAAACTGAAAAGGCTGCTTTTCTTTTTTCTTTTTCCCTTCAATAGTTAAAATTGATGCTTATTATCGCTTACTGCGATTTACTGTCCCCAGCTGCCAAAACAAAACAAAAAAACAAAACCAACCAAACAAAAAAAACCACACACAAAAAAAAAACCAACAGCAACAAAAACCACCAAACAAAAAAAAAGTAAACAAACAAAAAAGAAAAATACAAAGCTTTCTATACATTTGTTTCAGGAACACAGGGGAGATCTTTTGGAGGAGGAAAGCTGAGAGATTTGAGAAAGAAAATACGAACATTAACTAAACTAAGATCAGTCTTTAATTTTAAGACATATTATAACAGCAAAATTTACACAGTTGGGAAAAACACACAAAATACATCTCTTTCTATAGCATATATACACCTGAAAATACAAGCAGTATTCCCTCTGGTGACCCTTCCAAGGAGGAGCAATTCTCCACTACATGTCCCATTGTATGTATTTGCCTATTTTAATTACACTTTTATATAGCTGATACATACATTTTCCCTCAATACATAATTTTTAATAAGAATGTATTCCCAAGGGCTGACAGCATTAGGAAAACTAGGCTATGACAATGAGAAGGGATTCCAGTCAAACACCATCATGTCTAGCATACTGTGTTTCATTTACAAATCTTTGATTTCTAAATGAATGGCAGTTCAAAGTACACATTAAACACAGACACTTTTTGCTTATGTATGTAGAGATTGTTAGAGATTAAGCCACTTTTAATTAAAGACCTAAGCAGGTGTCAGTTCATGATACTCTTTGAATTTGATTTAAACAGATACACGTTCCATGATTACCCAGCAGCACACTTTAAATACAAGCAGAATCAAAGAGATCTTCCAAAACAAAGGGAAGGAAAGCTACTTTGTCAGATGGTCTGAAGTGTGGTACTACTCATTTGTCATATATAGAACATCATATATTTAGTTGGAAAAGGTATTCTAAAACACTTCAAAAATAAACAAACACACAGCAAACACAGAGACAGGACCCCAGGCCACACAAGAACTATTAATTTCAGTGGGGTTTTGTTCTGCCTCTATGTATGCATCTAACTATCCAAAGTTAATTTGCAGTATCAAGGCCTGAAACAGATAATTTAAAAGCATTCTGGACTCAAATAACCAGAGCTTTAAACATGGAGATGAAATTATTTCTAGGTAATTTTTCTCTTAGTGTCTTATTTTAGAGTGATAGCAAAGAAAAGTACCCTGTTTCT